TCCCAGCTCTGATGTTCTGTGTTCTAAGGTTCCTCTCAAGTCTGACATTCTGTGTTCTAAGGGCCCTCCCAGCTCTGACATCCTGTGTCCTAAGGGCCCTCCCAGCTCTGACATTCTGTGTTCTAAGGGCCCTCCCAGCTCTGACATTCTCTGATATGAGGGTCCTCCCAGCCCTCCACACACTCATCACGGGCTCACAAGTTTCCTTCAGACTGCCCCCGATGCCCACCCCACCAGTCTGGCAGACAAGGTACCCACACTTCCCCCAAAGGTTCCTCTTTTTCTTTTTCCTCCTTCTTGTATAGGCCCAGCCTGAGGGAGCCTTATGCAGCTGTTCTAAGGCCATGTCCAGCTCTGCTACCCTATGTTCTAAAGGCCCTTTAGGTTCTAAGAACCCTTACAGAGCTGACATCTCTATGGCTTAATGTCCCTTGTGACTCCAACACTCATTGCACCAGTGGATGTGGGTGTCAGCAGGGGATGGAAGCCTTTGGGCAGGAAGGTGGGAATACCTGTAAATGAACCCACAGATGCCACAAAGGGACCGAAAGCCCTCACACCAGCTCCCCTCCCGATTTCCTGGGGTGGGGTGGGGTATGGAATCTAGCATCAGGGCACCCATGTCTTGCCAAGATGCAGGGCTGTCTGACTCGGGTATATAATTAGTCCATATTTTTAGTTCATGGCCAATTCTCAATGGTAACTGGATCTATTAAACTTGATTCCAACGTGACAGCTTAAATTGTAAACAGCTGTGAAGAGTTTCATACTTAATTACCATATTTGAGTTTTGCCATAAAGTGTTCGCATTTCCATCAAAAATGTAAATGCCAGAGACATTCAAATGAGATTTTATACTTCATGAAGTTTAATTGGCACAAATCACTCAGCGTGTTGGGGGATTTTCAATGTTAAAAACAAAACAAAAAAACCACGTTTATTTCTTTTTTTTAAAAAGGCAATAGGCGACAATTCACATCTCAATTAAATCATGTTGTTTTGGGGAATGGACCTTGGGGAATGGAGCGAAGACTCGGGAAGGGTAGGGAGAAGAGGGAAGATGGATGTCTGAGCTAACTCTGCCCCTATGCTCTGCAAGAAAGGGGATGGGGGATGGAGAGTTAGGCTGAGACTTTCTGCCCAGGCCGAGGTGCTTGGGTGCACCCAAGACGGGCCCAGAGAGAACCAAACTACCCTTGAGAGACCAACCCCAAGCCAGTTGGAGTCACCAAGACCCAGAGTTGGCGAGGTCAGTCCCAGATAAGCCACCCAGCAGAAAGGGGCCTTCAGGGTCAGCTCATCCAATCTCCTCCTAGAGAGGGGGTGAAAAAGGCAGAGCCCAGATCCGCACCCGGACCCTCTGACTCCTGCTTACAATTGCCATTAAAAGTGGGAGGGGATGCTGACACTGGGCTTCCCTACAGGGGACAAAGTTTCAATTGGCTGTAGTCTGGAAGGGAGAGAACTCTGAGAACATCTCAGAATCCTAGAGCCAAAAGGGATTTTAGAGCAATGAATGTAAGAGCCAGAAGGGGCTGCCCCAAAAGAGACAGAATGGGAGGGACCTTGGAGATTCAGCAAGCATTTATTAAGCACCCACTGTCTTTGAGCAGTGCTAGGCACTAGAGATGAAGACACAGAAACAATCCCTGCCTTCAATGACCCCTCGTTTCGCAGATGGAGGAGAAGCCCTGAGAGGTCAAAGACCCTGCCTAAAGCCCCATGGTGAGCTGGGGGCTGAGCCAGGCTTAAAACTAAGGCTTCTAGACTTCTGGTCCAGGGCTGGGCATACTAATGTGGGAAATGAAGCAGAAGGAGCAGGTCGAGACTCTGGAGAGGAGAAGCAGGGTCTGGGGCAAGGGCTGGGACTGCAGCTGGACGTGGAGACAACTGAGGACAGCTGACCACGGAGGCAGGTCCCTGAGCCATTCGGCACAGAAATTGAGCCTTCCCTCCTGTGGCCTCCTGACCACGCCGCGCCTCCCCTGCCACGGCCCTGCCCTCACCAAACTCTACCTGGGCCTGCAGTGACTTGGGCTCATGCCTCATCTCCGCTACCAAGAGGCCCAGCCCCTCAGGGGCTCACATCTACAGAGAAAGCCACGTGGCCTTGTGGAGGGAGAGCTAGCATGAAGCCCAGAAGACCCCGATTCAAGTCCGTCCCTGACACATACTGAACATGTGACCCTGGGCATCTCATTTAACTGCCCCGAGGCAACAGAGGATTCAGAGAAGGTACCAACCTGAGCAACTGGGAGAGGAATTCCCCCTTCTGGGAGTTCCTTCTTACCAATGAAAGGACAGGGCCAGACCCTCTTCCTATCCCATCACACGTAAATCACTTCACAGTTTAAAATCTGTTTCTCTCATAGCAACCCAGAATTAGGATGGTGAGCAATGACCACGGCGACAATGGGGGGAACTCACTTCACACAGATCCGGGGAGGTTTACAAAGCCCTTTGCTGACAATATCTCATTTCTCTCTCACAATAACCCTGTGAGGGACATAGCAGATAACCACCCCCATTTTACAGGTGTACAAACCGAGGCCCAGAGGTTATAGGACTTAACTTGAACGTTACCAAGCCAGTGTCAGGGCTGGAATCTGAGCTTGAGTCTTCTGAAACCAAGTTCCACGTTCCTTCTATTCAGCCATTTGACCACTGGAGTGGAAAGTGGGCCAGACCTGGAGTCAGAAGACCTCAGTGAAGTCCCACCCCCATTACTAGCCAGCTGCATGACTTTAGTAATTTACCTGATTTCTATGAACCTCAGTTTCTCCATCTGCAAAATGGAGGGAATACTCCTTTTCTATCTTGCAGTGGTGCTGAGAACACTCAATGACATAATAGACTAAGGAGGTGATGGGGCCTGGGGCCCAGTACTCATCTTGACCACTGGAAACACATCAATGAGCACTTGTGAAATGCCTCCTGCTAGCCAGGAACTTGCTGGGCCCTGCCCTGTCCTCGAGGAGCATCCCATTCTACTCGTCCTCTAACCTTGGTGGGCCTCTGGTCCTGACCTATAAAACGACTCCCTGCAATTATCAATCTATGACCCTCTGAAATAAATAACTATATTGCCACCAGAGTAACGAGGGGGCACAGTGGACAGAGTGGTGGGCCTGGAGTCAGGAAGACCTGAGTTCAAATCCAACCTCAGATACACACTAGCTGTGTGACTCTGGGCAAGTCACTTAACCTCTGCGTGCCTCAGTTTCCTCAACTGTAAAATGAGCTGGAGAAGGAAATAGCAAACCACTCCAGTATGTTTGCCAAGAAAACCCCAAATGGGGTCATGAAGAGTTGGACAAGACTAAAACAACTCAACAACAGC